ACAGATTTGTCGTGAAAATTGTCGTGAAAATTGTCGTGAAAATCTTCTGGTACAATAAAAAAATATTTTAGGTGATCAGATCTCTCTACGTGATGTGATAATATTAGACATAAATACACATTTTTTACTGAAAACTTATATTGTCTTTAAATCTATTTTTTGATGCTAGAAAATATTATTACACTGAATCATAAAGATGCTGTTGAAACTGTTTCATTATATTAGTATCTATATCGTCATTCTTGGACTCTTCCAAAAATTATCCAAAACTTACCTGCGCAAATATATAAGGATGAAGTTCGAGAGAGGAATCAAATAACGGCCAACTAATTTTTTGTTTTTGATTTGTGTAACCAGGAGCAATACCTAATCATTCACAAGTTGTTTCAAGTCATGTCCTGCCAATGACACAAGTTCTGAACGTAGCCTCTCAACCCTGCGAAGAATTAAAAATTAGTAGAGAAAATGAATGACAGACTAATTGGATTAGCTTTACTTAATGTGCAAAGAGATTAATTATGTTGAATTAATTTGTTATTAAATGTTGAAAACGTAATTGACGTTATCGATTGGGAAATTTATTTTATAAAACATTCAGTTATCTTAAAAATATAAAATAAAACCATTCCTGCAGAAATTTCTCGCGTATTAAGACAAATAATAAAAAATGCAAACTCACTGCTATGGCCAATAAAACAGTAAATTCCCAAGTAGATGCCCTCCGTGACAAGCTCTCAAAACAAATAGCGTCTATTTGTTTTGAGAACAATCGGAAGACTGAACAAGCAAACTTGAATTCCATCATTAATTCCACAACAATAACAGCCACCATATGGAATCAGGTTTTCAGCAAAAACTCTAAAACTCCCAAAAAAGACCACCAACAAATCGACATGATCGGCACCATTGCCAAAGAATCGAAAGAACGCGAAAACCAATTAAAGAACATTGTCATACTAGGAATAAGCAAATCAACCTGATCCGACCAGAACAACCAAAAGCAACACAATCAAACTGATATTAACAAAGTTCTCAACCTTATTGGTGCTGAAAAAGGCAAGTGCTTTATTTGCTTCCGCCACACTCCTCGTGAATGCTGCCGGCGACCCAGCTGTTGGTTTTTGGTGTTAATAAATGTCTTAAGTACTCTGTTCTGAGACAAGTTTTTTCAATATGATCATTTTCTCTTTCAACTTCAAAAATCACAATCAACTTGGATTTGTTCGTATTACAAGTCATTATATTGTGTCACAATAAACTCTTTCATAACTATGATCTTTGAAAACATGGACATTGTAATTGTTTACTTGTATAAAAAAACTGTAAGATTTTTAGACATATGTAAAACTTCAATAAATTGTTTATTGTCGCCAATAACTTGATAAACATGAAGTTGTTATGACTGACGATCTGAAGATTATATAGCAAGTCTTCACGACTGTATCAGCTGCCAACCGAATACTTAGCAGGTTCAAAAAAGCTTTTCAAGGTCAAAGTTTGGTATTACGACGCACACTGCCTACTTTATACGTTTGCTCACACCTAGAATTTGCAGTGCAAGATCACTATTTTTAGCCAAAGTCACAGCCAAACTTAATCAAGTTCAATACCGAGCCACAAAACATATTGCTAACTTAAAACATTTACCCTATAATCAGAAACTATCAAGACTTAACTTGACTATGCAAACAACGAGAAAAAGGAGACCTGATTGAGCAATACAAAATTATCAGTAAAATTGACAAAGTTAACTCATCGGTCCCTCATCTTCAACCAAACACCATCTTTAAAGTACATTCTTCGACCGCGTTAACATACAAAACAACTGAAAGCACAACTTGTACGAAACTTGCAACTTGAACGAAAAGAAACAAATTTCTTACCAACCGTGCTGTCAAACTATGAAATACTTTAACCCAAAATGCGGAGGACTCAAAGATCCTGAACAATTTCAAATACGAACTTTCTTTGCGCCGGCGTCTAAAATTTAGCTGAACCTAAAAACTGTATTTTCATCACAGAGTGGCCTATTAAAACCCAATTTTTAATAATGTAAAAATTTTGTTGACCATGAATAAACCAAACAAATAAACAAATATAAGTTGTTTAAATAATCAACGAGCCAAGGTTTTAAATACATTTTTTGTCAGACAACTAAATATCTAGTCTTCGTCGTTATTTTTAAACATAATTTCAATAAAGTTACTTAAGATATTTTATTATTTTTGTTGACAATGTATGCTTTTTTATAAAAGGCTGCAAACACTAAGTATTAATTACAAAAAAAATTTTTTTGTAATTAATAAAGCTTTTTCACATCAGGTAAGACGTTGGGCAATCTATAGGACACTCAGACTTTTGGGACTGCATTAAAATCATTCTCAAATGTTTCAAATGTTTCAAAAGAAAAAAGTAAAATGGCAACAACATTTTTAGTTATTTCTGTTTCTTTTAGTTATTTAACTTTTTACCCTCTAAATAATATTAAAAAAATTATGCAACATTATGTATTTTTGAACTTATAAGTATATTGTTCACACAATTTATAGATAGAATCAAAAAAAATAAGTGTACAAAATCTAGTTAGAGCTTGTAAAACGGGAAAAGCTATATAACTAAAAAAGGCACGTCACGACATCAAAATAACTAACGTCACGTCACGGTCCTTTATATCGTGTTAAAAGAGCTAAATCTCATTTTGATCATCAAACATCAAAATAAACTTTTTTTAATATAGTTTGCTAGAAAAACTTGATAAAGAAATAATTTTGATTAAGTAAAAAAAAAAAAAAAAAAAAAAAAAAAAAAAGAGGTTTTAAGTTAAAACATTGTTGTGCTTAATAAATGATTGATTTTTTGTTTTCTCATTATTTTCTAGTGTGATGATCAACTTGGTTTCGAATCTCATAGAAAATGTTTAAAAAAATGGTATCCTGATGAGTGATGTATAAATAACTATGCTTATAACAAAATGTTAGCTATGACAGTAAAAATTGTTTATAAAGTATAATAAATTAAATAAAAGATATTAAAAGCTATAAAGTGTAATAGTATTTAAAGTGGTTAGTTGTAAGACATGTCCTGGGGCCGTATTCTCATCTCTCCGTTAAGCTTAACGTCAGTAAAAAATTTCGTTTTAACTACATTAATAAAAAAGTTCTTTAAAAATATAAACTTTTAAAAATAAATGTTTTATTTTACTATTAGTTTTACTTTTAAAAATTTAAATAAGGTTTTTGTCATTTCTTTACTTAGATATATTGTAATGAAATTTCAGACAAAAGTTCCGTTAAACTTAACGGAGAGATGAGAATACGGCTGCTGATTTCATTGGGTAAACTGAATAACAATTTTACAGACTCCGGCGTAACTTGCATACTTGTTTCCAGAGTGCGTATCCGAGTAAAAAATACCATTAAAAAACCTATTATGTTAGTTGTTTTTTTTAAAAAGTTAAGCAAGTTTTATTTAGTAGATCACATTTATGTCAATGCATGCAAAATTGGCTAAAATTATTACGCTAATAGGCATCTAGGCAGATTGTTACGCAAGTTCTGGATCAAACTTACGCAGGTTTGCATTTACTCGAATAAAAGTTGTTTAACGTCTTCTGAGAGTTCGCACTTTTTTCAACTTATATTTCATAAAAATTTGAGACAAGTTTGAAGTTAAAAATTTTTTTTTCCTAATCAAATGAAAAAGATTTTTATTTGATTTGTCAGTACTTAGTGTTAACTTATTGGATTTGAACATGTGGAATAAATGTTTTTCCTTTATGGAGGCAAAAAATTCGTTTGTATCACTATTAGAGACGAATAAATCAGTAACATTTGAAAACATCTTGCTTATCAGATTAGTTATTTTCTTTATATTGTTTATATAGATTAAGAAAAGTAGAACTTAAAAGATTAAATCTTGTGGAACTTCACAGGAAATATTTAGGGCAATCTTTTAGTCCATAGTATTTCAGCTTTTTGAGTAAAATATCACGGTCAACCGTATTGACAGCCTTCAATAGGACGATAAAGATACCTAATGAATATCTTAATTGTTCAAAAGGTTTTGAAATTTCATTTACAAATCGGATAATTGCTTGCTCTTTTGACTACGCTAGGTGATTTTATTGCAGATACTCTTGATTTTTTAATGCTAACATTATGCTGAAGACACAGATTTTATGGAAAAAAGTTTTTTTTTTGGTTTACTTAATTTATAAATCAATTCGGTAAAGATTTGAAAAAACTTCTAATTCTTAATGACCGAATTGATTGGTTTGGTATTATTCAAAAAAAAAAAAAAGTTTAATACCTTGTTTACTTTACTGTTAAATACGGGACTAGAACTTTTTAACATTAATGAAATGCATTTGTCACTGCTTTCATTCTTTTTATAAATATTGACAATATAACAACATTTGGAAAGTGTTATATCTATTAATAAATTTTTTTTTACCGGTAAAAGCAATTTAATTTTACAGTATCTCCATAATCTAAACTATGCCTAGTTTCTACAAAGATTATAATACAATAACGGTTCAAGGGCTGTCAACTTTTTTTACAACAATTATTTTTAAGTGCTTTTTTTTAAACTTATTGAATTGGACATCAAATCAAAAAAATTAAACATCTTGAAAAAAGCATTTTTGAGTTTGATGTTCATTTTAGTAAGTTTAAAAAAAGTGTTACACCTTAACGAAAAATATAAATCTGAATATTTATAAATAAATATCTGAACTGATTTAAAGGTGAGTTTCCGCTTATCCGTTTTTCAACGGTAACGGGATAGGAAAGGGAAAAATAATCACGTGAACATGCGTAATTTTACTTTGGACAAATCTACGCATGCCCACGTGATTATTTTTTTCTTTCCTTCCCGTTCCCGTGAAAAAACAGATGAGTGAAAACGCGGTCCATTCAAAGATAGAAAAGGTTTCTGAAAAAAAAAAGTTTATGAATTTTTTTTTTAACATGTTTTTTTCATTTTCAAGTATAAAAAAAAAGTTTTTCTCTATAACAATATATCTATAAATTATTATATATATTCATAAATATCAAGTATAAAACATGGTTCTTTAATTACATCATAAATATTAATTTCAACACTATTTGAGTTTAAATTATTATTATGTTATATTTTTGGTGTTTTTACGGCTTTTACATTTTATAATAAAGAAATGCAATATGGTTTATAAAACCGCAGAAAATGAGTAAGTTGTTTCTTGTAACTAAGTATCGAGATTTTCTTTAATAATATTTAAGTCTATAAAACCTAACACTTCCAACATTGAAATCACAATCAGTTTTCTTCTTCCCTCTTTTTGACGGAATATACTAGGTGTCTCTGTTTGTTGCAAAAGTTCCACAACAGCTAGATTTTGTGAGTCTCCTTTCAAGTTACCATGAAATAAAGCAAAGTATCTGTTTTTGTTTTTATCAACAATAACCACTGTTGTTACTTTATTCTCAAGAACTGCGTTTATTCCGGAATGTGTTTCTAAGGAAACGATGGGTACTTGGAAACGTTTTTTACTTATACTTTCAGTAATTTCTTGTAAAGATTGGTTACTTTGAATCAACTTTCTAAAAAAGTTAAAAAGGAAAGTATTATAAAATAATACATAGAATAATAAATAAAGATAAGGTTATCAAATTAAGATTTAATGTATTGAATATCTGAAGGCAATTAATGGATATAATGTATTGAAGGCAATTAATATCCGTACCTAAAGGAAGGTCTTAGGTAATTTAGGTTATAGTAAATATGTCAAAAACAAACTTGAATAGAGCCAAATTTAAATAAAGTTTTTTAAATATCCGGGAATTCAAATCTAGTTATGTTGTCACGTCAATTCGTAATAGCAACAAAAAAATAGAAAAAAAAAATACCGAATTTCAACAATTTTAAAAGTTTTTGGGGGTAGAAAAACTTGTTATTTTATATTTATTTTTAGTTTATAGTTCATATAATATATTAAATTTTAACTTTTAGATAAGGTATCACTTGAACTAAACTTAAAATACATTGTAGTTGAGTTAAGTTAGTTGAAATTTACAGTAGTAAGGAAATCACTTTAATCAATAAAAAATAATTTATGACGCAAAAATATACCTTTTGTTCATTGTCTATACTGGAACTGATAAACTAGCAATATAAATTTGTTTAATTTGAATGAGCAAATTGTCGACTTTTATGGTTCGACGCAACACACGTGTCGGATGCTAGTAAACTGATATCTGTAAAGTAGCAATTTATTCAAAATAAATGAACAGATATCAGCGGTTTATCAAAACTTAACAAAAAATAACGTTTTCTTGAAATGTTATTTAGTTTGCATAGTAAATATAACACATACTAATTTAAGTATTAAATTTTAAAGATTCCGTGTACAAGTGTTAATTTTTTAATAAAGTGTCATTACATAATTTAATCTTCAAAAGCAATTAACGTCATAGGTTTCATAACAATTTAATCATGAGGTCATATTTGTCACTTTTTTCCTTGATGTCATTTTTTAAATCTAAATATATGCAGTAATCTATATCAAAATAAACATGATGAAAATATGTTGTTAAATTAATTACTGACGGTTTGTTATCCTGGAGAATAACAGAAATATAAACCGAAAACGAAAGCTTTTATATTAGTATTAGTATTTCATGGATTTTAGCTTCTTTATAAATTGTTTTTCTACTTATAAATAATAACCCTTATATTTACTTTTACACAGACGCACACGCACGCACGTACACGCACATAAAGACACGCACAAATCATATATTCAAAAAAGTTTTTAAAGCAAGTTTAGTAGCAATTTTTAAATATAAAAAATATTTATTTTTACACAGACGAACACACACGCGAGTACACGCACATGAACACGCGCACAAGTCATATATTTTATAGAGTTTTAAAAGTTAGTTTAAAAGCAATTTTTAAATATAATTTTTTTTTTTAAAAAAACGAAATAATTTTAACTTAAAGTCATGTAATGTGTCAATGCACGTCATGTTTCCAAATTATTTATTATTGATGAATATTTTTACAGGATGTTTCGTGTTATAAACCTTATGTAAATACTTAACTATGTTTTGCTAAGTTTTAAGTTTTAAAACTAAATTTTATTAAAGAAACTTTATTAATTGAAACAACAATAATTTGTTGTTTCAATTAATAAAGTTTCTTTATTAAAATTTATTTATCCTTCCCTTATTGATTTCATCTAAAATCATACTGAAAACATAATAATCCCACCTTTACGATCATCCCACGCTCAGTGATTACATCTAAGAATGTGGAATAGCAATTTCATCTAAATATGTGGAGTATATGTAAGTGTGTTAAATAAATATCTGTGGTATAAATAATATGTGGGATAGAATTAAATATGTAGGAATGTGGGAATTTGGGAATAATGTGGGAAAATCATTCAATTATAACTTAGTGATTTCATCTAAAATCATACTGAAAACAGCATGGTTTTTAATATGATTTTAAATGAAATCACTAAAGGTGCCCCTAAAAGTTACTTTTTTAAGCTGTCTTTCAAAGACAGTATAAAAAAGTAACTTTTAGGGGCACAATTGTTTTAGCATAGAGGGGCCTGGTTTAGCATCTCTGCATCAAACTATAAATATGTTTATTGTATTTATTTTTTTGTTTGTTTTTTTTAATTACTGAATAAATAAAAAACTATCGCAACAATGTCATTAATATTTGCATCATATCGCATATATATCAAATTATATCAAGTTATATCGCAACAATGTCATTAATATTTGCATCGTATCGCATATATATCGAATTATATCAAGTTATATCGCAACAATGTCATTAATATTGCATGATATTGGATATATATCGACTTTATCAAGTTATATCGCAACAACGTCATTAATATTGCATGATATCGCATAGCGCTTTTTGTGATATTTTATAACTCAAAAACGCAAAATTATTGAACAAAACAAAACTAATCGAATTAAAAAGAGTTGCGACTCCAAAGTCCTTTCATTTGTTTCGAAAAAACACTATGCAGTTTGATACAAAGATTGATGACATTTTTGCAATATAACTTGAAATAATTCGATATATATGCGTTAAGATGCGAAAAATGATGACGTTGTTGCGATATAACTTGATATAATTCGATATATATGCGATATGATGAAAAGATTGATGACATTGTTGCGATATAACTCGATATAATTCGAGATAAAAAAAAAAGCTATTTTATAATTAAACTTAAAACAAGCAAAGTCTTATTGGGTAAAAGCAACTTTCATCTCAAATGAAATCGAAATTCTTATTGGGTACTACTTTGTAACTCAAAAAATAAAAATGAACTTGAATATTTTATATTAGCTAAGCTGACGGAGTTTTTAACAAATAATTAAAGCCATAACAATAAAAAATTTGACCTTTATAGCCAAATTTTAGTAAATTTTGCACTATCTTTTTAAAATTTTTGAAATTAATTAAATATATATATACGCTTCAACATTTACGGCATCCAAATGTCGTTGGTATTTGTTTTCACCTGCCGAACAAAAGGTAGGGGGTGGGGAGGAGACAAGGATGTTTCTTAATTTTTTAGTTCTTTCTCCCCCTACCCGGAGCTTATTAATACTCCTCAATTTATTTTAATAATTTTAAACTTATTATTTTATTTATTTTGAAAAAATGTTAAATAATTTTTCGATTTGGAAAATCAGGGCAAGACAGCGAACGAGGCAAGATTAACGGCAAAGAAGACAGGAAATGATTTTGTATTGTAAAATGATTTTTCGATAGGAAAAATAGGGGCAAGACGGCGAACAAGACAGGCGAACGGGAGCAAAATTTAAAAATGGGCAACAAAACTGTATTTATATCACGTATTTATGTAAAACACCATTTGATTTTTTTTAAACATTTTTAATGTTATACTATATGTGTAAGTTTACTTAAAACAAAATAAAAGGTCACCTAAAAACAACATTGGTTTCGGTTATCGCTGATTGATGATTTGCTTCGGGTGTTACTTTTATAGAGATATTTTTTTGTGACGCGAGTTTATTTTGTGTTACTTTAGTTAGAGTAGTTGGTAGTTTTAAAAAGTTTATAAAGTTGGAGATAGAAGTTGAATAATAAGTCATCTTGCCCCGGTCACGTGACCAGATGACAAATTTATCAAATTTGTTTTTTTAATAACTCAGGGTTTTCAAAATGTCCGCCTTCACCTTCATTCGCCATCTTGCCACGTCTAACTCTATATATCGGTATTTAATTTGCTTTCGCTGTTTTGTAAATTAGTCTCAATAACACTTAAAACAGTTTTTAAAGTTTGTGCAGGTTTCTAAGTGAAACTTGAAAACCATCGCAATTTATATTTTGTTCATAATTTCTTTGAAAGAACTATTTTTGATTTCTAACAACTCAGTTTACTTTTTAACAAATTCAAATTCTGCCTTTTTCTATGATTCCGCGGCAACAAAGCTGCGTTACAAAACAATTATCTAATATTTGCTTGGTCATTTATATCTAACTAGTTAATCAACGATGAAAACAAAACCGACATTTTTCTGTAAAAGCTCAATAGTTTTCAAATTCGTTGTTTTTATGATACATTTTTGTTCGATTTAAAAATGATTTCCTAACAAATATGAGTTGCACTAGGTGAAATGCGTCGGTTTCATATTTCCGATAAAACAGCCATAGCGCAGTCGTTAACGCGCAGTGCTTAGCGCGCTTGCCTCCAAAGCTAGAGAGTAGTTTTTTCAACAAAAGCTCAAACATATATGAATTGCTAACTTGAAAAAGGGACATGTCCTGCAAAAATTCACATAACATGTCCTCTTTTTCAAGTTAGCGATTCATATAACAAGCAATTTGTCTTACTAAAATACAAAGTATTTTAGTAAGACAAATTATTTTAGTAAGACAAGTCCCCCGCTTATTATACACCCACATGCGCTTGTTATACACCCATACACACGAAGCCACAACTTACATAACTCAACAAAGTTGGTTAAACCATCTTTATTTTCTACTGATAGAAAATTTTCAAAAAAGAATGTTATTTAATCATGTAATTATAGATCCGCAATTTTTACATTACATGATCGAACAGTTTTTTATCGGTTCTAGTCCGCTAAAGTTTTTCTGTTAGTTAGACAAACTTGATATCCTGTAAAAGAGTTTATTCGGATTCAAAAATAGTTTTTTGGTGAAACTGCAAAACCTGAGGTTTGCTTAAAAATCATTCTCAAAATAAGTCTTTAGTTGTTTTAGCCTGCGACACTTTTAACGCGTACAAATTATTGAAGTCGTGATGCAACAACTTATGAGCAAACAATATGCTTTTTTATATAGTATTTCTCAATCTGGTTTCAATAATGCCGACTTTTTTTTAACGTCAAATACTTAAGATATTTTGTTTCAAGTCTTTAGTATTTAAAGTAGAACCTTTTATATTGTCAAAAAAGTTTGATTTAAATACTTGTCAACCTGGGTATTAAAATTGCATTTTTTTTAATAGAAATTTTAAAAACATAAATGCTTTTATATAAAATTTATTGACAAAAATTATTAAGAAAAAACTCTAAATACTAGACAGTACAAAAAAACTTTTTTTAATGTTTCAAATGGTTTATTTTTGTTACAAACACTTTTTTGAACTTTCTATAAAAATTGGCTTTATTGGACTCGATTTAAAAAAAAAAATTGCATTAGGGATTTTCACTCTAAAAGACTTAAACCAAAATATATTTAGAACTCTGTGCGATAAAGAAAAAAGGATTGAATAATCAAAATCAGCATGAATAGTATACAAAAACATTGTTTACTTTGCAGCAGAAAAAATGTCTTTGTAAGGTTTTCAAAATGAAACTTATTACTTGGCACTTATTCAGCAGCAGCAAAATCAGATTGAACATGCAGGGCCGACGACACCGCATGGGCAGGGTTCCCCCATCACCACCAACAGTGCCGGATCAAAGGGGACTATTGCCCTGAGCCCCGCAAATTTAGGGGCCCCGAAAAATTTTGGAGGACCTTTTTTTTTTTTTTAATTATTTTTAAGCTCCAAAGACAAAAATAGCCCCTGGCCCCAAGAAGTCTTAATCCGCCACTGACCACCACCACCACTTTTTTTCTAATGGAACGTATTTTTTGTTTGTTTTTTATTTGTAAGAAAATTCTAGATGTAGAGGACTTATTTAGAAATTGACGATTGTGCCCCTCCACTTCAAAACCCGTGTCGTCGGCCATGAAATGGCATTGCATTTGAAATTAACCAGAGTAAATGATAATATTTTGTCAACAAGATTAGCTAGAGATTAAAAAATAGTAAAAGTGCATCGACTGTTTGTTGAAGATTTTTGACGCCGTATTAATGGCAATTAAGTATTGATATTAAATAAATAAACTAAGAAGAAAGATAAACTTTTCTTGCGTAATAGTTTGAACTATTTCATTTTAAAATAAAAATTATTTAAAAGTAAAAATAGCCAAGAAATGTTAAATTATTATTAATATTATTATGAGCTGTAATTTTACGAAGAAACCTTTCAATAGATGTGGCCAATTAAATGATAACTTTTAATTGTTAAAATCAAATTTGTCAACTGTAATAGATTACAGTTGACAAAATGTTGTGTTTATCTGTAACTCCAGATAAACACAACATTTGAAAACATAAAAAATAATTAACTAAAAAACAACAAAGTTCTCGAAATAAATATTTGACTTAAAATAGATATAATAAATGAGTAAAATAATTAAATGTTTAAAAATCTTTCAAAAAAATTACTTTGCAAAATTATGATTTACGTTTATCTTTCGCTGTTTTAACTAAACTTAAAAGTCTTATTCTTTCCATGGACAACATTCCATTGACAACTTTCCATGGACATATTTCCATGGACATCTTTCTATGGATATCTTTCCATAGACATCTTTCCATAGGTATCTTTCCATAGACAACTTTCTATGGATATAGTACTTATATTACTATATTAATTTTGAAATTGTTAACTTTCTGTTATGACTAAGATTTTATTTTTTTTGTTTATATAAAGTCAGTTTACCTTATTTATAGTATTAACCTATATAAAGTTAATTTTCTTTTATCTTTGTAAAAAATTTATAAGTTTATTTTATTTCATTATTGTAAGAAGTTTATTACTGCATTTTAATAAACGGCTTATTTAAGGTTCTGATTACAAGATCTTCGTGATCTTCTTTCAGTTACCTTGTTTAAATTGTTTGTCATTGTAAAATAAATAAATTTAATAATCGAGCAAAACAGTTGTTATATCTCTATAAAAATGTTCAAAATAATTGCTGTACCTCTATAAAATTGTATTTTAGAAGGAAAATAATTAATATCAAAAACTAAATTGTATTGTTAAAAAAGTAGTATGATGAATAAAAATTTAATCAAAAAATGAGTAAAAAATAAAAATAAAATAAAAATTAAATTAGCTTTGCTAAGCAAAGTAAAAAAAAAACCAACGTCTTTATTAAGTGGATACTTAAAACAGTGTAAATAAAAATTGAATGCATTTTTTAATACTACTTCAAAAATTTTGACTATCGAGACAATCAAATGACTGCTAACGAGAAATCATTATTTTTTGAACAATACTTGAAGTTACTACGTGAGTTTTAAAACACTCGGAAGTCTTGTCTAAAATTTGGTTACAACGGTTAGTTTATACTTTTTATTCGGATTTATGTATTTTTAGTGTTAAATGATTATGGACACAGCTGTTTAATAAAAAATAAAAATTTATGAACATATAAAGTGTATAAATCAATATTCAATTAGGTTTGCTTTTTAGATGGTTAAGCTATTTTTTACATTGTTTGCGCTGTTGATATTTGGTGTCAATCGATTTTATTCTTTACCTAACAACATTAAAGAAAAGGAGGTATGTGAACTAAAAGAAGTTGAAATGGAAGTCTCACAACCCGGTTGTGTTACTAAAAAAATAAAAAACAACGAATGTCAAGGAATGTGCAGCTCTTTTTTTGTATATAGTTCATTAGAACCAAAGCAATACGGATGTCGGATTTGCAAACCAAATCGAAAAATGATTGAAGTAGTCTTAGATTGCAAAGATGAAGCAGGAAACGAACTACGTAAAACTGTAACAAACGTGCCGTATTTTGAAAGCTGTTCTTGCCAAAAATGCATTGAGAAAACTAACTAATTTTAAAAAATAAATAAGTTCTGAAAAACGACAAATTAAGTTCTAGTACGTTGATTGATATCTTTATAAAATGATTCATGCAAACTTTACTACAATAAGAATAGGTAAAAACAACATTGGCATTAGTTGGTGAATGACTTCATAGTGTTATAGCATTTTAAATACTGCGAAGTGATAAATAATATATGTATATTAAAGTTGTATAGAGAAATAAAATTTCCTTATACACTTTTTTACTAGATTGTGAAAAAGTGTATAATGAAGTATTTGATAATGTTCTTCAAGTACACTCAAAAAACATATTTGTAAAATTTAAGTATAATATAATAATGTAAAATAAACTATAAAAAATATGTTAGATTATTCTAAGAGCTAAATTATTATAAAAAATTATAAAATCCCACATAATAAACATTTTATCTTAGAAATTATTTATTAAATACCATCCCACGAACAATGTTTTATTTTTTAAAATTATTTATTAAATCTTGTCAACAAGCTTTTGTATATACAGAATAAAATACTTTTCTTTTTACAATAATCTTTATAAAATAAAGAGTTAAACAGACAGGACCTCAAAGAAAATGAAGATGACAATACGTCATTGCAATCTTTTCATAGAGCCCCTATATACACTATGCATAAAATATAGGTATTAAATTAAAAACCCTAATGGGCTTAAAACGGCTGCGCTGATCAGTAAATCAAATACAGATAAAATATAAAAAAAATTAGAAAATAAATAAAATTCCTTGGTGATTCCTTTAGGCACAAAAGATTCTCAAATTTTAAAAATTTCTTTTTTTATTAGAAACTTGTGAAAGTGAATTTAATGACTTTGCCATACATTCAAATCCTTTTTGATAACTGTTCCATATATTTGGTCCTCTATAAGCAATGCTATATTCAGTATACTTATTAAAGTTTTAAGGCAGTTTATATGTGTTACTTCCCAGCAGGCATTTGTTTTTAAAAGTTACGTTCTAAATGTATTGAAATGTTTTTTAAACGTCTTTTAAACATTCTTACGTAAAGAGTGTTTAAAAGACGTTTAAAAGACGTTTAAAAAACGTTTAAAAGACATTTAGACCGTAACTTTTAAAAACAAATGCCCGTAGTTTATTTCAAACTTGTTATTAAAGTTTGCAGGAGAGATATTATTATTGAATTGCTACATAAAAATTAAATGCTGATAGATATTTATTTCAAAAACATCCATAATTTTCATATCTTTCATTATAGGTTTAGCATATTCACGCTTATTTTTATAGTAAATGATTCTGGACGCATGTTTTTGTAGGCTATAAATTTTTTTGAGTTTTGATGATTGCGTACTTTTCCATGATATGTTTGCATAGCTGACAAAGCAATGAATTATTCCAAAGTAAATTAGTTTAAGACTTTGTTTATTGATATATGAGCGAAATTGATACATCATACCAGTTGTATTAGTGATTTTAGATTGAATATACTTTATTTGAGGAAGCCAGGAAGGATTTCTTCTCGTGTTTTTTTGTCGAATAATATTTAGTTAGTTTTTTCTGTGTTAAGTGAGTTTATTAGCCTTAAACCAATTATTTACTTTATTTAGTTCAATATTCATATTTGCATATAATTTCTTGATATCACTGTTAATAAGAAATAGATTTGTATCATCAGCAAACATGACTGAATTCAGTTTTAAAGATGCATTGCAAAAATCTTGCATGCTCTCTAGAAATCTTTTTTTGAAATATAAACTGGATTGGGTAAAATAATTTGTTTTTAGTGAAGGGATTATAGATTCTTTTATAAATTACACATTCGAACAGTTTTGAAAATACAGAAAATATTGATATAGGTCTATAGTTGGTTATGTCCAAATGTTCATTAAATTTAAATATAGGGATAAATTTTGCTAATTTAAGGACAGTAGGGAAAATCCCAGATGTTATTGAGAGCTTAAGTATATGGATCAGAGGTCTGCTTAGACTAGTTTTATTAAAGATAACTTAATCATTAGTTATTTCATCAAATTCTGGTGCTTTCTTTTTTTTAAAGAGGAAAAGCTTTTTTAAATTCTTTATAGTTGAATTCCTTATCGTACATGATAGTGTTATTTGTGGGTTTTAGGTAATTTTTAAATGAATCAGATGTTGGACTTATTTTATTAGCAAGATTTGGACCAATATTTATAAAATATTTATTATATTCTTTGGATATTTGATTTTTACAGGATATGTCTGTATTGTTAATATTAATTCTTTTTGGTAAAGAAGTTGAATTTATTCCTTCCCATTATCTCATTAATGATTTAATGATTTCATTACTGTAGTATTTATTTTTAGCTTGTTTATTAAAATTTTGGTAAAAATATTTATAGTTTTTGTAATTTATCTCATTATCAGTGTTTTTATTTTTTATAAGTTTATTATAGAGTTTTTGCTTCTTTTTTGAGCATTTTATCAGTGTTTTATCCATCTATGGATTAGCAACTACTTTTGTCTTAATTTGTATGTCTTCTTGAGGACAGGTTTCATTACAGGGGTGCGCAGGTTATCGCAGAAAAATAAAAATATTTATATCTCAAAAATGGCTTTTATTTTCAAAGTAAAACTTTTCACAATACCAAATCACATATATTTTTACTCAAAAACACTAATGAATTTCAAAGTAGCCTCCTTTGGCATCAATGACACTCTTCAAACGCTCTGGAACTGACTCACTGCATCGTCGCACCATGTCCGGACTAAGATTCTTCCAGATCTTCTTCAATTCGTTTCGGAGGGCTGCCAAATTTGGATATGTTTTGGCTGCCTTCTTGGTCTCCATAACACTCCATATAGCAAAATCCTTAGGATTAATGTCTGGGCTTGAAGGGGGCCACATATCTGGGGTCCAAAGGTGCGAAACATTTTCTTTCAAGAAGCTGACAGTTTTCTTTGCACTGTGTGCTGGTGCACTATCCTGCATAAAGGCCCATGGATTGCCCCAAACTTCTTTTTGGCCCAAGGAATGAGGTTAGCTTAGATGAAGTCGACATAGGTCACCTGGTTGACTTTTACACCTTCAGGAACAAAAACAAGGGGAGTTTTTGACCCATCAGAGCACACACCTGTCCAAACCATGACGCCCACAGGGTGCTGTCTCTTTGGAATAGTCCTCAGTTCCAAAGGAACTGTTCTTCTGGACTTACCAAGAACTCTGTCATTGTATTTGTTGGGTTCTGGTTTAACTGTGAAAATTTTTTCATCACTGTAAACGATAGGGACATCTTTGTGGTCTTTGAACCAATTTAGTAACTCTTTTGATCTTTTGCGTCTTTTGGCTCTAGTTGCCTCACTCAAAAGTTGTCTTTTTGACTTGACAAGGCTCTTCATACCCAGATTATCGAGGACAACACGTTGCATAGTCCTTCGATACACACCTGCTTCTCTAGCTAAGGATGAAATTGACCTGTTTGGGTTTCGTCGTACTTTGCAGTCGATCGAATTTCGAAGTTCTTTAGTTCTCACATAACGATTTGGGCCTGTTTTTTTTCTTTTGTAATTTTTTCCAGTTTCTAAGTCTTTTAAGAGTCTGTAGACGTTGGAATTATGAAGCTGTCCCTTCACGGCTTTGCAAATTTCAACTTTTTTCACACCACGTTTCCATAGATCAAAAACAAGTTTTCTTGCATTTTCATTTTGCGTGCTGACAAATCGTGCCATTTTTTACAACTAAATTAGTGAAAAACGGCAATTTTTAAGGATTAACTTGTTGAACTGTGTTGCATTTTCCCGCCAAAAATGTTTTTCACTGTATATCATATTTTTTGCCGCGAAATTTTTGTTTTCATTTTTTTCTGCGATAACCTGCGCACCCCTGTAGAGCAATCTAGGAATATATATAAACAATTTTTGAAAGCTTCATTAGTTTCCTGACATCTATACACGTTGGACCACGTTTCTTATTTTAGTCTAATAGATAATTCATTAGTATTACCTGATTAAAGATTGCGTCTTTTTAAAATATATAACTTTTAGTTCACAATCAGACATGGGTTTTAAATTTCTTACTTTTCTAAATATTGGAAAGTGATCGCTAATATCAGTCATAAATATCCCTGTTTCAAAATTCATTTCCATGTAATTATTAATAAAAATATTGTCAATTGCCGTTGCCGAAGTTTTTGATACTTGCGTTGGCTTATTAATTGCTGACAAGACATTAAATTTAAGAAGCATATCAAAAAAAGATTTTATCTTTGGAAATTTTGAATAAGTTAGAGCATCAAGGTTTATGTCTCCAATAACGTATAAAGTTTTAATTTCTTTATTTATTTTTTCAATTGTATTTTTGAGAAAAGTTTCAAATGATTTCATTTTACGATTAATTCGGTTAATACGAATAACCAATGTCCTTTTTAATGACATCAGGTGATCTGTTGCAATCAGCTTTGATTTTCATTACAATATATGCAGCCCATGTCAAAAAGTTCATTTGAAGTTTTTTTATAGTCGGTTTCAAGAATCGAAAGATTTTCTTTTAAAGAGAAGTTCAATCTAATAAGAAAATAAAGACGCTATTTACACATTTACAACTTTAAAAGAGATTAATACGATTAATTACGATTCATTTTACGATTAGTGGACGATAAACGCATCCAATTAAAACATTTCGAAGTTTTTTATTTATAATTTCAATAAATAGGCTTTCGTAATTATTGTTTAAGAAGCATAGTATATTTTTTACCTTAAGATCATGCTTTTTTGAGACATAAAACCCTAACCCTCCACTTTTTTTCCACTTCCTCTTGCTTGACATAAGTTTATAAAATGGCAAATTATAAATAAAATTTAATTCAAGAGAACTTTCAAAATCATGCCAAGACTCTGAAACAGGTATGACGTCGAATGCCATTAAATAAACAGCAATTATTTTATAAATTACTTTAAGATAGCTTCTTAACCAATTTTTGGTCAAAATTTCTACTTTTAGGCGTCTCTGTTTTTGTTTTTTTCTATTTTTCAAATATACGATTTTGTATCTAGTTTTGTTCATGTGTGCCCATTATCGTGTGCTAGTTTTCTCGTGTTAATTTTTAAGCTACTGAACAGTTATTGTTACGTTGTTTAAGTTAATTAGCTTAATAT